CAACAGGCATCTATCTATCTTTTCTAGATTTAATATTAGTAATTATTTCTATATGCTCCAAAACCTTTTGAACATTTAAAAATAGATAGTTAGTATATATTTTGCAATATTAATTGCATAATTTAAGTTATTACTTATATTTTTTATATTATAAAAAATAAAGCAGAAAATACTCCTTTGCCATATTTATTTTCTACACTTTTTAAAACTTATAAGTATAAGAAATTAAGCGAGTGTAAAACTAAAGAAAGACAACAAATTCGAAATGCAGATACAAATGCTATTAGGACCCGAGTTAAATTATTTGAACCTCATTTTGTTGAATTAAGCTTTTTTCAAAATAAGAAAACTATTTAATTTGCAAAAAGTACTATAATCAAATTGTTTCAAAAGATAATTTTTAAATTATCTAAATAATGATTTATTATCTTATTCAAGAAAATGTAATCGCAATTCTAATGCCTCAAATTTAAATATACAAATAGAATCTTTAACAACTATTGATATTGGAATTTAAGTAGAATTAGATAATACAAATAGTAATCATTTAATGCAAATTAAAATTTTAAAAGATTCTCTTAATAAGCTTGCAGCTGATTATTCCAAACAAGCACAAATTATCAAAGTTAAAAATAAAAAAATTTCAAATTAGAATGTGAATATAAATATCTTAAAAAAGAAATTGCAGATTTTAATATCGAATTAGAAAATTTAAATTTATATAAAAATTAAGTAAAGATATTAATAGATGAAAAAAATAAATTAGAAAGTGAAAATATATCTCTAAAAAATCAATAGAATAAATGGCATAATACTCAGCAAAAACATATAACAAAAATTACTAAAATTGCTTTATTAGAACAAAAGCTTTTATATAATAATATTATTTATTTAATTAATAATTGCAATCAATTTTTTTTAGAGAATTTATTAGTATTCAATTCTCTAAATTGGCTTAAATATCATAATCCTGTAATTGTAAATTTTATTGAAATACTTACTAATAATAATGATGAACAAATATCTCAAAAAAAATTTTTTAAGCATATAGTTGCTATAGATGCAATTTATAAATTGTAGCACAACAAATATATATTTAAAATAAATCTTGCCGCATCTGCAATTAAATATACTATTGTTTAATCAAAAACTATAATAGATATTGATAATTATATTTCTGGTAGTAGCAGTTATATGAAGTTTATTAATTGGATAGAAAGTTTAGTAGTCAAACCAAAATTCTTGCCAAATAGGCTTTTAATTTTGGTCTTTGATAATAAACAAAAGACCAAAAAATTATTTAGATCGAGGTTACAATATAGTCATCTTTTATACTATAACTAGTTTCATAGCTCTAAATTTTGATTTGAATAATGATAGCTAATTAGCAATTAATCTATAGAAAAGCAAACCACTTTTTGAAGATGATATAAATCAATTACTTTATTTAAATAATGATATAGAAAAATTACTTGAAGTAGAGCTTCTTAATTTTATTAACGAAATAATAAATAATTTATTTTCTGAAAAAAATCAAGAGACAAATGAAATAGATAAACTAGTCAAAAAACAAAATAATCTATCTAATAAAATTAAAAAATGTTTAAATTGCTTTGAATTAGAAATTGATAATAAAAAGTGAAACTGTTCTAAATATAAAGCTAAGCTACCAACACTTACTTCGATAAATCAAGAATCATTTCAACAAGTAGAACTATCTGAAAATATAAATAAGGCAATAGTATTTAAACCTTATAAACCTAAAAAATCTAGTGTTGAATTACAAAATCCTAAAGTTAGTATAATACAAAAAACTATCACAGATTATGGATAAAAGTTCTAAACTTATATATTCCTAATCCAATTCTAGTTAATTCTAATTTATTGAAAAATGTTCAAAAGGTTTTGGAGCATATAGAAATAATTACTAATATTAAATCTAGAAAAGATAGATAGATGCCTGTTG